CCCGCCCCAAGAAACGAGATCTCTCCACGGCCCCACCCGATGACCTCAAGTTCGGGCGAAGGTACGCTGGCACTTCGCCGATCAAAGGCAGAGCCGGGTTTCTCCAACTAGTGCACCTAGTCGCTTCGTGAGATCTCAGTTTGAGTGAGTGACACCCGCGCAATGCGAGTCGACAGCAGGCAGGTGATGCAGCATGGATGCTTGATTGCTATTGCGATGCAGAGCTGCGCGCTGGCGACGGCTCCAACGACGCCCCTCGTGCTACGTCGAGACGGCTGACATGATTGCCGAGCCTGGCCATAAGGGTTGAAACTTGTCGATGTTGATGGTACAAGCAGGAGCGTGGCAGATGTCTTTTTGAAGCGATCGGGGAACTCTGTTTAAGCGACCTCTCGTTTTCCTTGACGCGCCTCGCGGACAGCCTTCTCTGTGCCGTGTTTGCTGTTGCGAGACGGGAAAGAAGCGCACGTCAGCAATAATGCCCCCCTCGCAAAAGGCATCCTGATTGTGGCAACATGAAACAAAGCCGCCCAGCTCGCATCTTTCCGTTCTGAGGCCACGCAGACTTGTTGCGAGCACAACTTCCCGTACGCCGAGAGCCTGCTCTGGTTCAAGTCCTGGCCCGAGTTGCAAAACTGCAACCCCCAGCTTCCATTTCCCTACTTCCAAGGACCCCGTTCGCGGCCTAGCTTGCGACGTATTCGTGCCAGCATCCGCCCAGCTCCTCCTTTGACCCCCACGCGACACAGCTATTCCTCCTCGCCCCCTCCATATGATACTAACGCGTAACGCTGGTTTCTGAGGAACTTGGGGTTCACCTTGAGAGGGGGCAGCAGTGTCTGTAAGTATTAGAGTCGCACGGTAGCGAGTAGTCACTGCAACTCACGCCTCGCAAGTTTGGGTACTTGTTCGTCTTGGGCTTCTTGATACCGTTACGGTGCGCCTTGCGCGACTATGGAGCGGAAAGAGCGAGGGGTTGAACAGCTCAGCATCTTGTCGCCTCGATGCGTCAATGCACATACCACAATTCGCTCACCTGGTTGTGCTGCGAAGCGTTCTTGGACTTGGCCATCGTGACTAGCGAAAGTAGAGGAAGGCAAGTATGTCAGGGCCGATGGGATCTAGGCAATTCTTCCGATATTTCCCTCCAATCGAGCCTGCAACCCAGCGCAGCTTCGCCACCATCATTCCACCTTCGACCCCGACTTTGCCCCCTACTCCTCGCCATGCCAATACTTACCAAATTCTCAGGGATGTTGAAAAAGGTGTGATATTGGACCTTGAGGTGAGGGAGACAAGTGTCGCAAGGACCGGCAGCTGCGCCTCCATGCAAGTCTTCCCGTTGACATGCCAGCCGCCAGCTTCGCTCAGCCGCAGTGCCACGTGCGTTTCCTGGCGCGACCCACCTTCCGCGCGCGCGTGCATCCGGTCGAGTTCAATTAGAAAATAGACTTTG